GTTCTGGCCTAGTTATAAAGCTAGGCATATTTTGATTCATCATTTGATTTATTTGAAATGTTTTTTTTTCTAAAAGAAAATCATTATTTTGAAAGAAAAAGTACATCTCTTAACAAGATCAAGTTATAAATATTGTCAAAAAAATGCCAAATCTCTCTTCGTTGGTAAAATAATTATTTGCACATTGAAGCCTCTGTGGAGCAAAATGTAGCCATGGTGTTTCTGAGCAACACTGTCATCACACTCTTATTACCGCTTTGTAAGAGTTATTAAATAAATGAGAGAAAAAAAGTGTTCCAGTTTGAACTAATTAATTTTTMTATTCTTCTAAATAGCTTAGAAGACACAGAAAGGCTAGAGAAAGAAAGATAAAATAAGGAGCACAGGAGAAGTAAAAAAGATAAACKACAGGTAATTTACCTGAAGCGATTCTCAGACAGATTAGGACAAATGCTCAAAACCTTGATGGAACCTTTAGTGGCTAAAGAACACCTGTTTGATGGTCATTTTGTTCCAAGTCTTTTACCGAACAAAATGTGAAAGTAAATCCAGAGAACAGACCACCTGCTGCACCATCTGACCAAAATAGGCAGTGACAATAAACCTTCTCCCACACCTTGTTGGTTTAGCTCAGTTTTTTTTTTTTTTTTTGGTGTTGTTTTTTTCCATCTGAAGAATACTCCAGAGGAAGCACTGCACGCCCGGATTCATTCCTATTCAGGTTCTACTGTACATAGTCCAATTGTTATTAGAAAATGGGTTATATTTACATAATCAGTGCCTTTCTCACATGCACACACAGTAAGGCCATTCAAAGCCCATCCACCATCTGCCCTCGTAGAATCAAGAGGGCAAGAGGACAATGCTACTTTAGTGGATCTGATCAAACCACGAGAAGGCGGCAGCAGGCTGCGGCTACAGTAGCTTTAATGTAAATCTGATCTGACATGGGTATGTAGGTAACAGAAATGCAGAATCACAACTGTGTACGTGCAGAAACAGTTTGGAATAATTAAAGACTAAAAGAAATGGCTGCATGATGGGGGAAATGACAGCACTGTATAATTATCCATTTTKATCAAAGTGGAAATTGTGTAGAATTTAAAATTACTGTCAACATACAAATGAATGACCAGGAAACAAAACCCATTTCGATTAATGCAGTATTTAACTGTAGGTGACCAATCACATCTAACCGGAGATTAAGTCAAAYTTGGTCAAAATGAACCAAACACATTTTCAGATGCCTGACCTTTTAAAGGCACAGCTTGATACCTGGATCATCCTGATATCATAAGCAGTTCCAGAGGTATGGCTTGATTTGTCTTCCTAATCAGGATRGCTAATTGATATTTGGTCCAAATCCTATTTTTAGGTACCCTGGTAAAAACCAGATCCTTGTCCTTCACTTTGCTTCGTACGAGGGTCTGGACTCGCRGCCACAGAGAAGCGATTCCTGCTGGAGGCGTGGCCTCTGTTGAAGCGTGTGTACGTCGCTGTGAAGGAGGCTAAGCTAAGAAGCTAACCGGAAATCGCGTGTGCTGTAAACAACCCTACTGAGAGGAGAAAAGTACAGAGCTGAACAAACAATATTTGGATATTGAAGCTTACAAACAGGAAATAAAAGCTTTGCTAGCATGTAGGGGAAATGACAAAAATTCAAGATTTTTTCTGCTCAAAATCATGTTTTATGCAACCACATTTCAGATATTCTATACAACTGAACTGTAGATATTTAATCATTATCATAATCTTTATATTTTTGCCAAATGCAGTTGATGCAAAAATTGTAACCAAAACACTATATCTGCCTATTTCTCCACATACCACTTTAGAGATAACGCTCGGTTCGATGTGACGGGTCACTTATAGCTATATTTACATCTATATTACACACAAGCAAAAACAAACCTTGGTGTTTCTTGCCTCGTTAATGATCATGTTCTTGTCAGCTGTCAGCCTGCTGCTGAAGAAACTGTTCCAATCTGTAGCAACTTCTTGGTAAATTTGACTGCACATATATTTAGAAGGCACTTGTGCATTAATCATATAATGTAAGAGCACTGGCCCTTCCATTTGTCTTTAAATGGTTGCAATACTGTTTGCTAACTGCTTTTCTGAGAATAACTTGCTTAAAAGGATTGCAAAGGCGTAAGACATTGCAACACAAACCACTCAGGTGGCAATCATGCTAGAGAAGACCTCCTTCTGCTTGTGTACCTACATTTASACTGGAGGGGCTGTCAAAGTGTGTCATTCACAATATACTAAAAGAGCATGTATAAACATTTACAGTCAAAAAACTATTAGGAATAGTCAAAATAAAAAGAAACCAAAAGATTTGCAATATGGGTGTGTAACATGCATGACTTTATTCAGAGTTGATTCTTTTGGACAGGCCGTGGATGTATCAATAAAACATCTGGGAATGTTTAATACTTACAACCATGTCCAACACAAAAGGAACTGTAGTCTAAATTCGAGATGGTTTTCTAATTTTTATCTAGTTCTAATAAATGTTAGCAAATACATATCCATTATCTATATCTTTTATTTGGTTCAAAAATATTTGTAAAGACGGATTTTCGTAGTGTCCTTCATGGAAAGCTGATTTTATTTCAATATTAATTAAAAACAGAATAATTGAAAATTTACTTCTTTTTTTTTTGCAAGATAGCAAAGAACATACTCAAGACATGTCAAGACATGTCAGTACAAGGTCTTTTCCATAAAACCTGCAATGCACTGAGGCATTTTTAGCAAATGGAGGAGGCATCCATGTAAAACTCTTAACAAGCATTACTTTTGGCCATTTGAAATGGTGCTGCTTTGCCTGTGCAGTTAAACTTAGCTGCTGTCAGTTTATTCATATAAACTGGCAACAAAGGAAAGCAATTATTCAGACAATGTGACACTTTTCCACTGTTGACGACAATGGAAACCTTTGGTAACAAAGTACTTGTGACTGACCCTAAATTAATGTGAAGACAGTCTGTCAGTAGGCAAGAGAACATTTTACAAAAGTTAACAACAAAAGTTAAGGACAGTATGTACAGAAAGCACTTTTTGTAATGTTTTGGTTAGCTGAACCTTTAAAAACCTCATTTCACCCCCACTTTCTTTAAATAACCAATATTCTTAATTATGGGACTGATCAACAAAATGAATGACCATGAATGTCCATCTTCATGGTTTCTCCAACTCCTTCCATCATGCCTGGTTCCTACATGTGATAACGTAATTATCTGCAGCATCTCATTGAGTGAGGATCCAGTTTTTCAAAATTACACTGCAAAGAGAATGGCTTCTTTTAATGGGATTGTTAGGCTATGACAACCATGACCTTGTCAATTAATGACGCAATAATACAAAGTCATTAGTCCCTATTTTAACAACTAAAATAAACTGATAAGCTTTAGGTTAAAGGAACAAAGGTTTAGGCTTCACGATGATGCTTTCCTGCTTGTTGCTTTATCTCGAATCGTTTTCCTGGGAACCTCCGACACTCGTTTCCTTCTCCAACCACACCCCTTCCTCCATTTTTCCCCATTTCTCATCTCTCTTTGCCTCCATCTGCTTTACCTTCTTTCCCCTTTTCAATCGGCACCCAAACGTGGCACACACTGCTGTCGTCACAGAGCGTGTTAGTCACCAAGAGGGACATACAGCTGTGAGAGTACAGGGTCCAACGACAGCTTCAACACAGTAACAAATGAAGTGAGTAAACTCCCCCCTCCTGCCATGTCTAAAAATAGCAACAATACCAAATAATGTAATAATATTAGTAGGGATCATACAGGCACCTTGATGTTTAACAAATGAGGCTACAAGCTTCCCAAGATGATAGATTCGCACCTAAATACATGTTATGAACATTCCAGCTTTAAAAAATGAGCATACTGTGTTTCTGCTATTCACAGTAAGATAATTCAGAGTAATAATTTGCTGAAACGAACACACACAAACTGACCTGAAAAGGGAAAATGCTATCACGACCCACACCGTCATCCATCCAGGATTTGGGGTTGAAGCCAGCAGGACTATTTCGGGGATACTTCTGGGATGCCATGTGGTTGTTAGGAAAGGTCTTCTTTAGTGGCGAAATGGAATTGATAGGGGTCATTCCTCCATTCAGCCCACGACGATAATCTCTGCCCTGAGATCCACCCCACCCACCTCCACCACTACCATAGCCTCCTCCGGGACTCCACGAGGTGGACGAGCCAGGGGAGGGAGAGGGGCTCTGGTAGCTGGCCGGACCCCAGGGGGACGGGGGCTTGTTTAGGCTGTTTGACAAATGTGGCAACTGGCTGAAAGCGGGGTTCCTGTGAGGGAAGGGCGGCGGAGGGTGAGGCGAAGCTGGGGAGCGTCGGTGCTGCTGGTGCTGGCTGTGGGGGTGTTGGAAGTGGGGGTGCGGTGGCGGCGCGGGGTGGTGCTGGGACAAGGCGGCGGCTGGTCCAATCTGAGGGGAGAAATTCCCACCAAAGCCCGGACTGACGTGGTGCGAGAAGTTCTGGAACAGCAGCGGCCCGTTGTTGGCGGAGGCCGGGTTGAAAAAGCTGACATCCTCGTTGATGATTGTTGATGGCGCGGGCGGGATGGCAGCTGACCAGTTGTTAAAGCCAGTAAGAGATGACGAGGTCGTACTGGACTGTACCGGACCAGTTCCCCCTAGACCAGACGTCTCCTGGTAATCAAAGCTTGTCAGAACAGGTGACTCAAGGCGGAGCTGCTTCTCCTTTCCACTACTGCTTTCAGAGGTGCCGTTCTCCGTCTTGGCTTCCTCTGACCGGGATTTTTCCAGTTCTGAAATTATCCCACCACCACTCCCACCCTCCTGGTGACTCCCAGGAGACAACTGCTGCTGCTTTTCTTGTGTTTCTTGCATTTCCTGTTGCTGCTGTGCTTTGGGCTTCTCTGTCCCCCCCAGGATTTCGTCTTGCACGCTGTTGTGGGTGGCAGAGGCAGGAAAGAGCCAGGGAGAGCCTCCCATGGTGCCATTCCCTGTGGCTGTGGTGCTGTTTATGAAAGCAGCCGGGCTCTGAGACACATTTTGGTGGTGGTGTGGGGGCTGCAGATGCGGGTGGATTCGGACCGGGAAAGCAGACTTGTTGCCAGTGTTGTTTTGAACTAGGACTCCAAACCCGTAATCCCCCATTTGTTTTCTCCCCCCAGAACAAATGCTAACCCCTGATCTCTTTGGTCCTATTGAGAGAAGAGCAAACAGGATGGCATACAGGTTAGTACTCAGCCATTCTCATAACCGTATTGATAAAAGGATTTAAAAAGTACCAGGTGGCAGACATCAATACATAAAAMGGCCTTTTTGTTAGCTTGTTAGGTCCACAATGGGATATCAACTAATCTAATAAAAGGTTTAGCAATTAGTCTAAACACTATAACGTGTTAGCAATCCAACAATCTGAATGCTAAAATTAGCCTAAAACATACTTTTGCTTACTGTTACATTATGTCTAACAGCCTCCAATATATAAAAGTGACCCATCATATCGAAATGAGGATTAAGTCAAATTTGGTCAAAATGACCTAATTACATTTTCAGATTCCTGGCTTTAAAAGCTACATCTTGATACCTGGATCACTCTGATATCATAATTAAATCCATAAATATGACTTAATTTGTCTTGTTGGTTACAATAATACATAAATATTTGGTCTGAATCCTAATTTTATGCAATTTTAATGAGGAATTTTTGATGTATTATAAAGAGGAAACCTCAAACTTTATTTGAATATTGACATTTCCCAGCTGGAAAGAAACAAAAGTTTGCTAGCTCAGAGGTAAAATCTCAAAATTTTAAGGGATTTTTCCTCAAAATCAGTTTTTTGTTGCTACTGCTCAAAAAAGTGCTTCAAATTTTTGTTTTTATGATTATATTTCAGACAATTCATTCAAATGATACATTGATATGGCATTTCATTCTGTCATATTTTGACAAAATGAAATTTGTGTTAACATTTTAATCAAAACCCTATATTTGCCTTTTTCTCCATATACAACACTTAATCCTCGTTTCGATGTGATGGGTCACATATATAGAAAATTTTCAGTCTGTGWCCACATAGATAGTTTCCCCTTCATGATTTATAAGTGTGTTCTCAAAGAGAAACCATGCTAAATTATGTTTTTAAAACACACAAACTAACAAACCCAACAAATTCACTGTTCAACTGGACATGTAGGTTTTTATTACCATAAAATAATAGTAACGTCATTAATCTCCAACTGATGTCCCAATATTCTGATATTATAATTACAGTGTTTTAAAAGCAGTAATTATTGCTACCAACTGAGCATATATTCTTCACATCTAATTGCAATGTCTTTTTTTTTCTAATACCTATATTTACTCACCAACACTGGGTGCATTTAAATAACTCAATGAGATATAATAATCCTAAATTATGGTCATAAAAAAGCTTATCGTGACAGTGGACCATTCGTCTGGAATATTATGCACACCTGAATAAAAACCATGGAGTCAATGTTACATCTTTAGCTAATTATAACCCTGTGACGTTGCAGGTTTGTAAGTCCACAGCTGAGCTCCTGGCAGAAGCACTGCTGTGTCGACCAGTCTCCATTTGGAGACGGTTTTAAAAAGACAAATTTAGCTGACAGACATGAAACTACCCCGCATACAAGAATGGTGAAACACTGACACGTAAATCATCGACGAACCGTGAATATTTTGACTATAAACCGACTTGACTTGAAATAAACGATATGCTTATTTGACAGCTGTCAGCAGTCTATTGAAGAGTCGGGTTTAAATCAAATATGTTTACTTTTGACGGTAATTTGTCGCATTAAAAGAGCCAGGAGTTATTTATATCATTATTCCATTTTTTTCGCAATCGAATCAGTAGGCGACAGTAAATATTAACAAAGCTGACCAGCTAAGTTTCCCGATGCTAACGTTAGCCAGCTAGCTAAAGGTTAGCACAAATGCTAGCTCTATGGACAGCCTGGATAAAGGCGAGTTTTTAAAAAATGGTATTTTCACCTTACGATCACCGCCTTCGACCTCGGCGATGTCTTTTGCTGAGATCCTTCGCTTGGAATGGCAGCGAGATGGTGTCCTTGAAGCAATGGCAGGCAAAGCTTTTCAGAGGCGATTTAATAGCTGACTCGTACAGTGCAGTCGGTCAGCTTTTTTTTCTCCCTTCTCCTGACGTGTCCTGCCTCTCAATGACACAGCTCTCTGCTTTGCCTCTGATCTGGACTCTATCATCCGATAGCTTTGTTAACGTGGCTTCTATTTTTTTTTTCGTTTACAAGCCTTTTTCGATCGGTTTCATTGTCCGTTTGATTTCAGTATCTTTTCTCGCTCGCTGTCTCTCTCCTACAGAGCCAGCCGATCCCTGTGAGTGTGTGTGTGTTTCTCGGGCTGCCCCTCTCTCCTGGAACCGACCGTGGCCGAATGACAGCGAGAGATCAGCCGAGGCGCACTTCCGCTTCTGGCGCCGCCCTTCTCTGGCGTGGCCACGCCCTCACGGAGGCACACCTCGGTATGTGATTGGACCAGATGGCCGGTAACCTCGCCCCTTTTCTCTCATCATTTAACAGCCGTGCACCAATACCACCTTCCCATGCCATCCATGAGCACTGCCCATTGAGGTTAGGAAAGCCTCCTCCCCAGCTCGGTGCTGTGTTTTCACGATGATGCAGCCGGTAAAGCAGGTCGTGAGAAAAATAAGTATCCCCCCTCCTCCACCCACCTTTCCACTCTCCCTGAATGGATGGAAAATCCTTAGAACATCCCTGGCCAAGCTTTTTATTTATTTATTTTTTAATCTAATGCTTGTTTGTTGTTAAGATGAAAATGGAACATCCTTTCAGAACACAGTAACGTGGTTAAAGCTCTTAGTGATAGGCTCTCTATGCATGCACACATTTTCTCTGGGCATGGTTTCCTCCCACCCACCAAATACATGCATGTTGGATTAACTCTTAAATCTGGGTGTAAGTGAGAGCGTACATCGTTGCTTCTCTTTATGTGACGCTCCTGGATTTCTGACCTGTCCAGGGTGCACCCCACCTCTGATGACTGATGGAGATAGGCACCAGCAACCCCCGGCTCAGAAAGGAAAAGTGGGTAAAGACAAAGGATGGATGCATCTAGTAGGGGTGTAAAAAAATATCTATACACTGAAATATCGCGATATTTAATTTCCCGATATGGTATCGATATTCTAAAGCCCTGTATCGATTTTTTATTAAGGTTTAAAATGTCAAATTTCCTGCCAGCCGATCATTTTTATGTTGTAGTTCAGCCTCTGACCACTAGTTGGCAGCAGTGAGCCAGATTTGGCTCCTCTACCTCGAGGTAGAGGCTATTAAGTGTTCGGTGACCATATTGTAAATCAATATTAAAAACTAAAAGCTGCAAAAAATATATTTTCAAACTATTTATTGTCAAATTTAGTCTAATAATAGAAAACATGGATGAAATAAGAAAAATTAAACAAATAAAATAAAATACGTACAAAGCAGAACACAGCTAAATGTATCAAAAGTATGTTTACGTAATATTAGAATTTTCTGAGACAGTGAATTTTGGTTTTTCATTTTTTTTCACAGCAAGAGGTTTTTATTCAATAGAATTTTTGGATGAAAAAATCGCAATATATCGCAATATATCACCTTACTTATAGTATCGCAATATATCGGGATATATCGTATCGTGACCCCTCTGTCATATGTATCGTATCGCCAAATTCTTGCCAATACACAGCCCTAGCATCTACAATACTTACTTACACAGTGCTACATTGAGCTTTTAACTAGCCTCTTGCTACTTTTAGCTTTCAGCTAAAATGAGCTTCTTTATTATCTAAAATTAGCTTAGCATTTTCTTCAGATTGAGAAAACGTCTGGTTTTTCCACTGTTTGCTAATTATTAGCCACTAAATGCTTTCATAAGTTAAGATAAGTTCCATAAATTACATCGATGAATATATATGAATAATTAGAAATCTATTCTGTAAAAAAAACCCAGCATGTTCTTTTTCAGTTTAGCAAACCTCAAAATTCCTCTATCTGCATGTCTCTACTCTTCCTCCTTATCTGCCTCCCTGTCCTCCTCTGTCTCCTGTGTCCTACGGTTCTTATCACGGAGGGGTCATCAAACAGCTCTGACTCTGTCAGTCTCACAGAGCCTCGTCTGACAGCGTTACAAACAGCCTCAAATAGTTATCTAATAAATCTGTCACTTTAAGTCCAGCTGGGAAGGAGTGATAAATTTGAAAATATGTAGAGTTCTGCATTATTAGGTATGCACAGTAAGGATGAGCAGGCAAAATAGAAGCAAATTAAAGTAATCTGATTAAAAAATAGATTACAGATGTCTGGTAATGTCTTTTCAGCTGGCAAATCATTGAGGGTGATGCATTATTGCACACTTCTATAGAACTGATTGAGGGAGTGCATTGCCCTCCACTTTCCATGCCATAATATAAAACTAAGATTCATTTATAATAAGAAATGACAAAATTATGATAAATCATAAGCATTACATATGGTATTATTGTGTGTAATCTCGCTTAATCTGTTAGTGCTCAGTCTTGGAAGTTACTGTCACATCAAATTTAACCAAGGTTGATTTGCTGAGGTGGCCATCATCTGACTCCAAGCTGTAAATTTGTGCCAAATGATAACTTTTTGAAAGTTTCGTTGAACTCGTTATGTTTGAAAGACATTTTGTGAAAACAGACAAACAGAATTTACTGCAAAAACAGACATTTTCCCCTTTGGTCAGTTGGCTGTGGGGGCCATCTTGAATCAAGCTGAGTCCAGAAAAGAACCAGATAAAGATGTCAAACCAATGATTTCATTCTGAAAGTTGCATTTAAATCTCTTCGCAACATATTACAACATAATCAAACTGACATGGATAAAACATTATGGTCATTTTGCCTTCAGCTGTGGGAAATAATGAAGACAAAACATCTTAAAAGAACATTTGAGTCCTTTAGTTTTCTGCTTGATAATGTGTTTGATTTTTAATTAAAGTATACCTCCTAGAATCTGCATAAAACCAAACAATTCTATTGTCACTTGGCTACTTGACTTTTTGCGGAGCAGTTTCAAAATTAAATGTGCAAAAATTAAATTAAATTTGTCGTTTGATAGCGAAAAAAATAAAAAAGTTCAACACGCTCCAGGCTAATCCAGTTCAATGGTGTGTTTTTATTAAAGTCATTTCTTCATACGACCTTCATCTCCTTTTTAATCTTCATTCTGCTCCACAAACAGTCGAGTGGAGGAAGGTTTTATTCATACACTGGAGGGCGAGGATCAGCAGGAGGAAAGGGTAATGTTTGAAAGTCCTAAATGTGCTCCAGCGTTGCAGCGCTGTTTGCACAGGATGCAGTATTCCTCTCGCAGTGGGGTGGATGATTAGGCAGAGTGCTCGGTGCTGTAAATGGATTTCTAGGACAGAATAACCGGTCTTACTGGCCTCGCTCAGGAGACAACACCCTTTCCTGCTACTGTCACTTTCTCTGAATTTAGCTTTTTTTTTTTTTACTTTGCCACAAACATTGTTTTTTAATTTAAAATGTTCATAGCCATCTCCACTAACCCATCAAAAACATCACAAACCAGAATGTGTGATAAAATTATGTGATCTTTATCTCCATCTTTACATATTTGGCCTTAAATCTTACCTCTGAGATATGGGATTAATCATTCTAGAGCTTGCTAACAGCCAGTTTTGCCGGCTGTGTTTTTCTGTCCTTTTTTTTTTCTTTGCTCTGTCATAGCCAAGAGTGGATCGGTATTATGAATAAAACATTAGATCCATTAAAAAATTAATCGCTTCTACCTTAGGCATAATTATGGTGCAATTCCTCCCAGAGAGCACAAGTGTGTTTATGAGCGCAAGTGTGCAGCTGCGAGAAAAGCAGATGGGCTCAAACCGTCGATGATTTCTGTCCGAAAATCTCACGTGGACGCGAGGCCTAATCCTCGGATGGTAGGGAGGAGCCAATTTAAAATAAAGATGGCATCTGGGAGGCTTTATTTATTTTTTCCCTGACCTGACAGCAGTTTACACGTCGAATCAATGTGCTGTTGGACTGAGCTGTTGAAGACATGTGCTTTGTGTCCCATAAAATATTCAGAGATGTTAAATGCAGCTGACAAAATGACGTGCACACACACCCCTGGGATTTACTTTGGGAGCATGGGACCTCTGGTGATTAGGACGATCATATTGATCCATCAAAGATGAGATAAACATTTAAAACGATACTTCAGCTCATATTTAAATAAGGTATTTGGTAAAAACCCAAAATAAATGTGACCTATGTTGCCAAAATGTGTCTGAATGGGCACAGCAATGCAGCATAAGTTAAAAATTTGATGTTTGCAGTAAAAAAAAATTTAATGAGTCCATAAATCAGCATATAAACTTCCTAATCTACCTTTGAACTAAAGCTTCCAAGCAGGTATGTCTTCAGACACAATTCTTTGTATTTTAACTTTATATTTTCCTTTAAAATTGTCCACTTTTCTCTTCCTACTGCTGTAATGCAAGGAAATGCCTTCTAATACAACTCCTGATGACGTCGCTCCAAATCAATATATATATTAGCTAGGGATGCAACGATACAGAAAATTCACGATTTGGTTCGGTTCGATACTTTAGTCTCACGCTTCGATATTTTTTCAATATAAAAAAAAAAAATGTCCATGCCCTTTCAACCTGTAATTTATTTATATTGACTAGGAACATTTGTTTAACCTCAAAAGTACAGTTTTTAAATTAAATGTTGCTGAAACAGCAATTTTCTCAGTGGATCTGCGCTCAAAAATGCAGCCTAGGTGGAGTAGTCGAATACAGATCCACTGATCCTTCAACACAGAGCATCTTCAGAAGGAAGTTAATAAAGTAAATATTAAAAATCTGTATTGTTCGATACAAGTGTGTATTGAACCTAAAGCACTGTTTGATACGGTTCAATACGGATACATGTATTGTTGCACCCCTAATATTAGCTTGCTGCCAGGCCAGGTTGACAGTTTTCTACGTATCATTTTGAAGCTTTGAAAATGGACAGTTTAAAAATAATCTAAACACAGTATTGAACAAATCCTCACAGTGACTCATTTTGCCAGCACAGGTCACAAACACCTAATATCTAATATATACAGTACGTATATACCTCAGTCTCAAATATTTTATGGTGGTTAATGCAAACAATTATAAACCTRCTGGCAGAAATCTGTCCATTAAWACCTCTATTTGCATTTGCAAAGACCACTTAATTTTTACGCAAATACCATGAMAAAGTGATGTCAATGTAAGGTWTATAAACTAGTGTTCACATTTACTGCTATGGGGGTTTTAAAGTTGTTTTAGGATGCAGGGATATTCAAATAAATTGCTCAAGTTACTCAAAGCCAACAGGAGCCGGACACTGCAAG